CTCTCAGACTGAAGAAGTCTCTTGGAGGAGAGACGAAACGTTTCATTAGAGAAGAACCCGTCCAGAAGACCTACACAATTTTTTCTTTTTGATATTTTACCTGGATTACTGAGATGCATCAGGACGTTATAATAATCATTAGTTGCAGCCCTAAATAATTTTCTTATTGTAAACAAACCATACAGTAAAACACATTAGGAAAAAAATATATACATTTAATTCTTATGTACACGTAAACCAAAAAAAAAATAAAATAAAAATAAACATTCAATTTCAAATGTCATTCTCGGACCTCAAGTACCTCCAGCAGCCTCTGTTTGGACCTCAGTAAGAGAAGTCCCGTCTGAACTTTTCTTGAGAGTAAGAGTGATTCTTAGACTTAATAATTTTCATAACTGGCACTTACACTTAAGTCTGAGAGCAGGAGCAAATCTAAGAAATTTTCAGCACTTAAGTCTAAAAATGCACTCTAAGAAGTTTGATAAATACAGGCCCAGGTCAACAACATCTATAGAAGGATTGTTTAGGATGCAGGTGTTCAACAGTTCTGGTACACATTTTTGATCAGAATTATTAAGTAAAGTCTACAGACATTTTTAATAAGTGCTTTGTTTATATTGACTGTGGACGGACTTAAGAATATGTCTCAAAAACTACACATAAAGCTTTTTGAAACTGCACTATTTGATATCGCTCAAGGTACTTTTTATGTTTGAGTTCATATTTTGTATTGAATACAGTACATTTAAATGAGCAATCACAAATTATTATGAAATTGTGAGACTTTGTATTTTTGTACAGTTATCAAACTGCCAGGTACATAAATACGACAGATGAAAACATTTACGATTTTAAAGGACATTTCCTATGTTTAGCCTATAAGGACTAATTAGCAATTTTAGCATTATGAGGCATTTGCAGAGGCCAGGGAGGGAAAACTCAAATAAAATCTTTTAGGATCTATGATCTGCAACAGTTATTTTGTAGGCATGACTGAGTAAATGCAAGAAAAGAAACACTTGACAAACAGCAGCACGGTCCAACAGAACTTTCTGCTACCGTTTGCTAAGTTAGCCACAGTTAGCTAGCGTCGACAGCCCGGCGTCTTGTTGTTAACACAAAGATAATACGGACAAAAATAACATCCTGTTGGCTTTGGAGATTAATATTAGTGTCAAACGCGTACAGGTGCATTCAGGTGAATGTCCAGTAGAAACATAATGGGTTATTATCCAGTGATGATGCTAATCGGAGGCCCATCTTAGCCCGCTGCGAAGATGCAAGCTCCATTATTGGACTCAGGCTGTTCAGCATGTGAAGTGCCATTTAAACACCGCCTGTAAAGGCATTCAACCCGTTGTCAGTCCCAAAAAACAATGCTGTACAAGTCATTTATTATTATATCATTATCACCATAACCATTATTACACGGTTTTTACTGAGAGAACAGTTGAGCTACTAAAAATGACATGAAATCGGACGGAAGAGAGTTTAGAAATCAAATGAAATATAAGTTGTTACACCTAAATAACAACCCAGACACTGATATATTAATAAAGTTTAGAGTAAACACGATAAATGTTTTAGTTTGTGTTTTTAAGTTAAAAGGAAACGCGGGTCACACGAGGACGTGTCCGATGATGGACGCCTGCTTTCTCTCCCCAGACAAAGAGCACAGCTAGCCTGCTGAGCTAACCCCGGAACGTCTGGCTAACTCGTCTCTGACAAGAACAACATCACGTTCAGCAACAAAACAACCCTCTCACAAGTCCACTCACCTCATCCGGGCTCCCTGTCCCGTCAATACTTAGTCCATCCCATAGGTTCGGATGATAATCCCGGTAATGACAGCTACCAGCGGAACCAGTCAACGTGAGCCCAGTTCGGTGAACAGAGCCCTCACATACCGTCCCGTCGCGGAGAAACCGGCAACAAACATTCGCACGTTGGTGTCGCTTTCCCGGCCCGAACAAAACAGAACCAACACCGAGGGTTCCGGTTCTGGTTGGTGATATTTTCGACCGACGGCTCCTGCTCAATACCGTTTCAGAGACATGAAGCTGAAGTGTCGCGAGACGGTCCGTTTCGAGCGCCGTGTCAGCGCAGCGCGCGCCCAGAGTCATGTGACTGCTGCGTGCTGACGTTACGTTCCGATGGCGTTGCCCTGTTTTTTTTTATTCAAAATTACAACAATTCACATACAAAGATATACAGATCAACATAAAACTGAGCAGAAAATTGAGTTATAGAATAATGTAATAAAGAGAGAAAAAAGAAGGAAACAATAACATGCTTAATAATTAAATAAAACAGACAAACATCATCACAAGAGGACTTTTAGTTATTTGGTTATATCATCAATGTATTGGTGTAATAATTGGGCTTTATTATTGTTACAGCGTGCCAGAAATTCCTCAAATAAAACTACTTACTTTAGAAAAATGTTAAATAATGGGGTGATTTTTAAAAACCGGCTTTTGTGTATAAAAAATTAGCTAAAAGGATTAAATTGTTATTACCATAAATTGCTTCTCTATCCCCTGTTAGAAGACTCATTTTGATTTTATCAAAACCATTTAATTTTTATGGTACCATTCAAGGATAACCATATCAGCTCTCCTGATGTAATGGCATCTGTTTCTCCATATAAAATTTAAGTTGTCTTGATTTATCTTTATTTTGTTAGATATATACAGCAAATATGCTGGGTAGATAAGTCGGGATAAACTTTCCATTTTAGTGAGAAGAACACATCCAAAAATTGATAAATCTCTCTGGAGCCAACTGTTAAGAATAACTTTGTTTTTTCTGAATTTTAGTTTCTGCATTTAACAAAATTTTTCAAGTTTGAAGGATGTGAAAGAGCCAGATTCACTGACAGAGATGAGCTCAGTGTTGTATCAGGCGCTGAAACAGAACTCAGAGGCAGTATCATTGCCTGGCCAGCTATATCCGTTTGATTCTAATCTCCCTTCTCTGGGCTTTCTTACATTGGTGTGGATTTCTCCGGTAGAATTTCAATCAGGCCAATCAGCAAACAGAAGGAGGAGTTGTGAACAATGACATGCTCTGTTTTAAGGCTCCTGCATACCAAACTGCCGAAATGGGTTCGAATTGTTGCAGGTTTATGATGAAAATCGTGTCATTCTGTTCGCACTGACGACATTTCGACAGCTATGACACAACCTGCCGAGAGAACTTTTTACCCCCCTCCACAAAAGAACTTAGCTATTGTGTGATTGGTCATAAGTTTGTGGGCGTGTTTATTCATGCAGAAAGCGCTCAGATGCTGCATTTTGCTTCAACCACTTGCTTAAAAAAGTGACTTGCTTCCAAATGCAACTGTTGTACCAGGAAGCAGCAATTTATAAAGATAGTCAACCAGTCAAAAACTCATGGATGGAGACAAAACAGGCATTTTGCATGGTGTAATCTAAATTATAAAAACTTTGGAGCTTTAACCGGGACAGATTTGTGGATAAATAACATCGGATGACGGGTGAATTTTTTTCCCGCATTGTAGACTCCAGCGGGAGGAAACCCCCCCAAGTGACATATATGCTGCAGCGGAAAGGGTTTCCTGGGATCTCGGCACAGGGTGTCTCGGCGACTACGAAGGTGTAAGCAAAAAGATCTACTGTATATTATATATATTATATCATATATCAGATCTTCCTTTTCATGGCAGTAGTTTGTTCTACTTCTTTAGAGTATTCACTCAGTGGTTTGTTGTAATTCTTTAAGTATTCACCTGTCCAACCAGAAAAGCTCAGTGTTCTGTTTTAGATCCTGTTTGTTTATTAAAATTATTCAGACATTCATGAGAGACTTTGTGAACAGACCGGCTGACTCACGCAGACATGAGATACAACATGATCACCCAGTCTTTATTGGCAGGCTGAAATGAATTCATGGGGAACACATGATTCCCCTGAAAACAGATGTTCACATCTGGCCTTCAGCAGCTCGAGCTGAGCCTCAGACACAAATGGAGGAATTTCCTGTTTTGCAGTGACAGACACTGAAGCTGCTCTTCTGAAAAGGGGAAGGTAAGGTAAAAGTGGGGGAGACATGGAGCACAAGGACCTCCTCCTTCTCCTCCTCCGTCACAGATCACAGCAGCAGAAAACCAAACTCACACACCTTCACTCTGCACTTCACTGGACTTTTTTCTGATACGCTCACACACATGGATTATCATCATCTCCTGGTGCTATGGACCTGCAGCCTTTGGCCAGGTGAGTAATACAAGACACTTCTGTAACAGCTGGATCTAAACTGAGTAAAACAGGACACATCTGTAACAGCTGGATCTAAACTGAGTAAAACAGGACACATCTGTAACAGCTGGATCTAAACTGAGTAAAATAGGGCACATCTGTAACATCTGGATCATACCTGAGTAACACGGGACACATCTGTAACATCTGGATCTAAACTGAGTAACACAGGACACATCTGTAACATCTGGATCTAAACTGAGTAAAACAGGACATATCTGTAACATCTGGATCATACCTGAGTAACACAGGACACATCTGTAACAGCTGGATCTAAACTGAGTAACACAGGACACATCTGTAACATCTGGATCTAAACTGAGTAAAACAGGACATATCTGTAACATCTGGATCATACCTGAGTAACACAGGACACATCTGTAACAGCTGGATCTAAACTGAGTAAAACAGGGCACATCTGTAACAGCTGGGTCATACCTGAGTAATACAAGTCACATCTGTAACATCTGGATCTAAAGTGAGTAACACAGGATACATCTGTAACACCTGGATTAAACCTGAGTAATACAAGACACATCTGTAACATCTGGATCTAAACTGAGTAACACA